CAAACACCTGAGCTGCTGCTACAAACACCTGAGCTGCTGCTACAAACTCCTGAGCTGCTGCTACAAACTCCTGAGCTGCTGCTACAAACACCTGAGCTGTTGCTACAAACACCTGAGCTGCTGCTACAAACACCTGTGCTGCTGCTACAAACACCTGTGCTGCTGCTACAAACACCTGAGCTGCTGCTACAAAACACCTGAGCTGCTGCTACAAAACACCTGAGCTGTTGCTACAAACACCTGAGCTGTTGCTAAAAACACCTGAGCTGCTGCTACAAACACCTGTGCTGCTGCTACAAACACCTAAGCTGCTGCTACAAACACCTGAGCTGTTGCTACAAACACCTGAGCTGTTGCTACAAATACCTGAGCTTTTGCTACAAACACCTGTGCTGCTGCTACAAACGCCTGAGCTTTTGCTACAAACACCTGTGCTGCTGCTACAAACACCTGTGCTGCTGCTACAAATGTAGCCCACCTTTACCCTCGGTACTAGGCAAGGGCCTCCTAGATTCTTATATGTAGCATTAAAGACTTAACTGTTAACTACTTGTTTAATTTGCTTAACTTCAAGTTTAACACATCCTTTAACACACTATCTCCTAATTTCCTTTCAATACACACCGTGGTCATTAACACACTCACACACACTGTCAAACTAAAAATAACCAAACCATGAGGTAAATGTGAACTCCGTTTACTTAATGCGTCTTTAAACATTGAACAACATACACAATACAAAACAAAACTGCATCTGTAGTCAGATGTCACTGTAAATCGTCAACTCTATGTGAGGGGCCCACTCACCAATCAAACACACAGACACCTGCTGGCTTATCTAGCTCTAAACCTTAAAGTTGCAGGCCTGAGTGAAGCTTGGGAGCGGTGAGGCCCAAAACTTAATGGCCGTTTCACTCTTTGCGCAAATAAATAAAACAAAACAGTACCTGGTTTAGTAGTTCAGTACATACAGACTCTGGTCCCAGTTCAGGTGAAGAGAAAAACCAAACGATGTTCTAAGGTGGTGATACAATCATCCTTCCGCTGGTCCAGGGTTTAACTCCAATGGGCAATGTCCGGGAGTAGGAAAGAAAAAAAAAAATAAAGAAAAAAAAAAAATATATATATATATATATATATATATTCCAAAGGCACTCTTCTGGCAGTCCATAAACACTCCAGTTACGACTAATCTTCACATCCAGGTCGGAATGATGAAGAGGCAGTCTCCTTAGTAAGCTGAACAAGCTAAACTAGGATTCCTGTGCAGCATTCACTTAGCTAGTGAATGCTAAATGTTCAATGTTAAACTGTCTCAAAGTGCAAAAAACTGCAGGACAAACTTCAAGCTGAAATGTCCATTTTGCTCCCCAAAACCATCAAACAAGCATCCATTACTGATCACTGTGTTAACAATCAGGAAACTCATTTAATTACTCCAAGCTGCAGCACCTGTTGCCACTGGTGTGCCTGGCTTCCCAGTCACTTTCATCAAGCTGTACCTCCTGACTGCTCACACTTCCTTTGGCTTTTCACAATAAAGCAGAAATAAAATACATTAACCAAATGTTATACTTTTCTTGCTTTTAACTTACAGTGTATGTTTGTGCATTTTAAGCAGTTTTTAAGCATTTTACAGCATAAATGAAATACAATTGTAGCTATATTTACAACATATTTCACTTGAAGAGTTTTTACATTTTCTTTAAACTGTCACATATTTCATAAATTTAATCAGTGCACTAAAATATTTGTCTGGGTTACACCCTCCCCCTTTTAAATGTCCAATGTCCTCATTGGTCAAACAAGTACAACTATGAGAAGAATTAAGTTTTACCAATGTGTATTGTAACACCTCTATGTACTATAGTGAGAGGCTGGTCTTTAGATTTGCCTGGTTGATCATAAGTAAGTTTGATGACAGGTTTAACTGTACGTCTGGGTCTAGAAGGTGTTTGTGCCAGTACTGTGTTGTAAGGACTTGGTTGTTGTGCGTCTTCTTCACTTGAGAGGGGTTCAGGCTCCGAGTCTGATTCAGGGGCACTAACTTGCTCATGGTCCTCTCCAACAGGCTGTTCTCCTTCTGAGACATTGTCATTCACGCTCATGTCTCTGTCAGTCCGTTCAGGTATGTCATGACTGCTTTCATTCCTCTCCTTGAGTATCTGTTCAAGATACGTTCTGTAGGATCTTTGCAGTCTTGCATACTGAAACTCAGAAGACTCAGATGGCAGCTCACTTTCCATTTCTGCGGAATGGTCTACAGAAATATACTTGCTGCTAAGATTTCTTTGCGTAGGTGGCTTTTCCACTACATCTGACATGGGGAACCTCACAAGATCTCCTACTGGTAAGAGATTATCTCTGTGTAGTGTTTTTACTTTTCCCCTGCCATTTTGGAGTTTCAATTTGTACACTGGTAGGTTTGGCAGTTGCTCAACTATGACATAGGGAATATCCATCCATCCATCCATTTTCTTACGCTTATCCGGGGTCGGGTCGCGAGGGTAGCAGCCTAAGTAGGGAGGCCCAGACTTCCCTCTCCCCAGCCACTTGGACGAGTTCTTCTGGGGGAATCCCGAGGCATTCCCAGGCCAGCCGAGAAACATAGTCCCTCCAGCGTGTCCTGGGTCTTCCTCTGGGCCTCCTTCCGGTGGGACGTGTCCAGAACACCTCACCAGGGAGGCGTCCAGGAGGCATCCTAAACAGATGCCCAAGCCACCTCAACTGGCTCCTCTCGACGTGGAGAAGCAGCGGCTCTACTCTGAGTCCCTCCCGGATGATCGAGCTTCTCACCCTGTCTCTAAGGGAGAGTCCAGACACCCTGCGGAGAAAACTCATTTCGGCCACTTGTATCCGAGATCTCATTCTTTCAGTCACAACCCAAAGCTCGTGACCATAGATGAGGGTGGGAACATAGTTCGATCGGTAAATTGAGAGCTTCACCTTTTGACTCAGCTCTCTCTTCACCACGACAGACCTGTACAGTGCCCGCTTCACTGCAGATGCAGCACCTATCCGCCTATCGATCTCACGCTCCGTTTTTCCCTCATTCGTGAACAAGAC